AGAATGCGTCTTATGCATGGTCTTTGTTTCAGCCGACGGAGATTGCCGAGCGAAGCCGAGCTAGCCCGAAGCTATTAAGTTGACAACGAAAGTATAGGTGTTAAAAAGAGAGAGAGAGAGTTAGGGGCCTGCGTGCCCCACGCAGGATTAGGCAGACGCGTGTCGCGAACCAATTAGCGCATTAGTTGCACGCCACCTAATAAGTAGGTCAAGTTGGGAGAGAAAGAACGAGGAAGAAGCTGGCGATCGCGGAAGCGAACGAGCGACACAGACGATAGTTAGTCGTTCAGCAGTCAAGACGGTTTAGTCTATCAGCGGTGCAGAGTTGAACTGCAGTTGAAAACAAAAGATCATCCGAACACACACGCCACCAAAGAGCCGAGAAGAAGCCGAGAGGAAAAGAGAATGAATGCCTTATTCCAGCATCTGCTTGGGACGCTACCCGGAGGAGCCGGCAAGAGCTGCCCAACGACGGCCAGTAACACCATCCGCAGGTCGCAGTCAGGCCTCTCGTTCCTGCATCGAAGGTCAAGGCTCGTAATCTAATTACTTTCTCTCTCTCTCTCTCTTTCTTTAGCGGTATGGCACAGCAGGTAGTCGTAAAAGTCAGGTAGGTAGCAAGGCCTACACATGCCGGCTACCTGCCTTAATTACGGTCAGCATTATAAAATTTTTCAGGTAGAGTACCGTCAAGGCGATCCCTTGCCGGGCGGCTTTCTCTTTTAGTTTAAGTAGACTAAGTCGGTTCGCCGTTATGGCTGTCAACTGCCGGGCGACACGTGCTATATGTCGGTTAGATTGGTAAGCGCGATAAATAAGTTAATTTGTTCATTGTTGTTGTACTGTACTAGGTGTTAAGAACGCCGTTGTGTTCGGTATTGTTAAGACGTGTTTGCAACACCGTTATGTTCATTAGGTTGAGAGTTGGTATTATTATACGGTTTATTAATATACGGTATTTTGAAGTTTAAGTGTAATTTCAATTTTAATTTTAATTAGATTAGATTTTGATTTGAATGCGATTTTTGTTGTGCGTGTAATTTCTTAATTACTTTCCTTTCTTTGCCTTTCTCCCCTCCCTCCTTCCCGTCTTGATTGTTATGAGCAAGTGCGCCTCACTTGCCCACCTTTAAAATTGATAAAGAACGAACTTTCATTACAATGTCGATGGAGAGAAGCGCGTGAGCGAATACGCCAGCCAATCACTCAACAGCGCTGAAAGAAATTATACAGTCTCCGAGAGAGAGTGTTTGGCAGTGGTATGGACCATTGGGAAGTTCCAGTCATACATTGAATGGCATCAGTTCAAGATCATCACTGATCATAGTTGCCTGACATGGCTCCACAGTATGAGAAATCTCACGGGAAGGCTAGCGCGTTGGGTCCTAGCATTGCAAGGTAATATCTTCGATATTAAATATCGAAGGAAAAATCTTAATGTAGTGCCGGATGCCTTGTCTAGGGCCTATGTGGAGGAGGGAACTGAAGTGTGTGCCATAAATTGTCGACCGGAAACCACTGATCTCTGGTATCTTCAACAATACCAGGAGGTATCCCAGGACCCAAACTAACATTCCACATAGAAGGTAGTTATAGAGAGGCTGTATCACTATTAGCCTGATGAAGACAATGAAGAATCCATCGACAACGAGGAAGCGTGGAAGCTTACGGTGCCTAGAGAGAAAAGGCACCTAGTGCTCCAGGAGTTCCATGATGCTTCGATAGCAGGGCATCAAGGACGAGAGCGTACGTTCTCTAGGGCTAGGCACTTGTACTACTGGCCTAAGATGTATGATCAGGTCAGGGAGTACGTGAAGAGTTATCCGGTATGTCAGCAATGCCAGGTGGAACAAACGGCACCTTGCGGGCTGATGAGTCGTAGACAAGTGTTACGACCCTGGCAGGTGGTGGTCGGTGATATCACTAGTCCGTTTCTAAAAAGCTCTCATGGTTTTGAGTATGTCCTAGTCTTTGTCGATCTTCTTACTCGCTGGGTGGAGTGCATTGCGATACACAAAGCTAATGGGAAGACGATCGCAAGGGAATTACACGAGCGGATTATCACACACTAGTTTTGGCGAGTCAGAGGTATTCTTATCGGATAACGGGACCGAATTTAAGAATCAGGAAGTCGATTCATACCTCCAGATGAACGGTATCCAGCGCTCCTTGACTCCCGCGTACCATCCTTAAGCAAATCCCACAGAGCGAGTAAACAGGACACTCAAAACCATGATCACGTTGTACGTGAGCCGTGATCATAAGAGTTGGGACGAGTACGTGTCAGAGTTCAACTTCACGTTCTTCTCCGACTTTTCCGACTCATAGCGCCCCCGGATCCTGCGATGCCTATCTTTGGGCGCGAGCCGGTACCTGTTTTAACATTCAGAAGATCCCAGGATCAGCAGGCCTTTGAGTGTTCGGAGGGCCAAGCTGTAGTGGATTGGGCTGAACATATGGAGAAGCTCCCTAATCTATGGGATCGTGCCAACTCTTTCATGCCAAAGACCTTAAACCGTACTATGGTCCGGGCGAAGAAGAAAGCGAGAAAGCGACCGACAACGAACCTTGCGAGCCACGCGAAGAAGGACCGTTGGAGTTAAGCTATTCTGCAACAACGTGCGAAGATCTGGGCGGAGATTTATCGAACGAGCGGATGGTAATAGCGATGCGTCGGATTTACCAGTTAGTTTTCGCGGTAGAATTTTGAATTCTCTTTCTCTCTCTCTCCCCTTATTATTGTAACAAGTTGTTAATCCTATTCTCGTGCGTAAGTCATTCGGTCCATGAAAGACTTAATGAATAAATGCTAGCAGTTTGTTATAATTAGCATTAATATTTCTTTTATTTATGCATATTACAGTTTCTTTTTTTTGATCTAAATATTTAATTAAAGTGCATGTATCATCAACAATTGTTTTATGATTGATACTGTAACAGGCTGCCGTTTAGTCTATAATACCTCTGGAACGTATCTATATAATTACCAAACGACGCCTAGTTATCTATGTGCTCAACAATCTATCAACAATCACATCAACCTACCTTGTCTCGGAGTGCGCCTGCGCAGAGTCTCTTCACTATTCCGAGTTGGGTTCCCCCAACTCGCCGCTTGGCGGCGCTGTCGCCCTTGCTTAGTGGCGCTCGCGCGGCCGCTGCTGGAAACTCCGTTGACGATTCCCGCCTACCGGTATTCGCGTGATCCGTGCTACGCTACCGGCGAATTCGAATCGACTGTAAACAAACACTTGCGACCTCCGGACAAAGGAAAGACAAAATAACGACTACTTGATTTAACGATGACGATTAACTGATTTATTCAACAAAATCAAATACACGGGGATCTGCCGAGAGTCTTGCGCACGCTTGCGCGAATGACAATACACGCCGTATGAGAGAGAGAGAAAACCGCGATCACCGCGAACTAACCGCTCGCACGTAACAATTAATTTCCTCGCGCGCGCTGCGCGGGATCGCACGCTATTAACGATAATAAAAAGGGGAAGGTGCACCTACCGCGAGAACGATGAGGATACGGTGGCCAACCGTATCCGAACAACAAACTGCTGAAACGCCGCTTCGCTGCTCGCCGCACCGCCGCGATTACTGTTGCTGCTGTTGTTGTTGCTGCTGTCGCTGCTACTGCTGTTGCTGCTACCGCTGCTGCTACTATTGCTGCCGCTGCTGCACCCAGCACACCGCACCAAATTTCGCACCTTTGACCTCGCACCACCACACGAAAACTTAAAACGGCTCGGGAACAGGTTAGCTGCACGATACAGGCGGACTGAGTGACACAGTCATACTGCCTATTGAACGCTCCCCTCCCGGTCATTGCCCCTACACGCCCTCTCTCTCTCGCGAACCGATCGCGGCTTCTCTCGTTCAGCCGCTCATTAACCTCGCGCGAGTCGAACGATTTTCGGTAATCGTTGCAATACTTACATTATCACTTTCTATTTTTGTTCCTGTTGATAGGTGTATTATTTGATGGACTTTGCAAGGATAAAGAAGACAATGATGGACTACTTGTTAGTCTTAATTGTCGATCTGTTATCTGTTGTACGCTTATTACCTCTTGATGACTGATAGAGCGCTCTGTTTTACCAAAGTAGCGCTGGTAATTAGATTGTAGTCAGTTAATTCGATGTATTTTTTTACTTGATTTTTGAGTAATTCACACAATAAATTACCGTTTGCTGTGTGATCAACGTTATATTTCTTATTCTATTTTTCATTGTGATATAGGTAATTTGAGCATTTAGTCGTATTACTATAGAATTTGTTAGCTCTATGATTGTCAGCGCACTTGATGAACATGGCTTCATTTTTGTATTTATTGATACTATGACGAAACCTCGAGCACTTCTAATATGGATACGTGTTAATCACGTCAAACCCTCTACCATTTGGACATCCAATAACATTCTATTTTTGTTATTTCTAATATGTTTGTATAAATTAGATGTTACCTTAATGAATACACTACTTGTCTTTAGTCTATCACTTGAGTAAAAATGTAAGTTTTTACATTTATCGTCAAAGTTGCTAAACTTTTTTTGATTAATGTCTGTTTCTATATCTTTTTTATTCGTTGTGAAAGCTTTATAGATTCCCGTAATCTTATCTATTGGAATTCTAATTTGTTCTTTTTCAATTTTAATATTATTTAATAGTTTTTTAGTTTGTGTTTTTTCAATTATATTTACATTGTCCTCATTCATGCAATTGATTATAACTATCTTTATTTTTATTTATATGTAGTTTTTTAGTTTTGAGAATTATATCCTTAGTCGAATAATGGGCTACAATGTTTTCAAGATTAGTATTATCATTATTATTTGTTCTTTTAGCGATTAATCTTGGTACTCTTTTTGCAATAGGTTTCGGCATTATGTCAACCTCAGCATATGAATTTTGGAATGGTGTCACAATTTTATTTTCTTTTGCTTTCAACAATAATTTATTTGTTTCCTTATATAGTTCTTGTTTTTTTTCAGAAATCTAGATAGTAGTACAAAAGAAAAACCTGATATATCTAAATTGCGTACATCAATACGTGATGTTACACATAAAATGGACTTAGCATATGGAATGATGGGGTCATTATTCCGTAGTGGTAGTCGTCAAACTTTTTTCAGCAGTCAAGTTGTGAGATATGCTGATCTTTATGCTGCTTCTTTTCTAAATTTGATGTACTATCCTTTCTCATATATGTTTAGAGCACCTGCTATGCTGGTGAGTAAGCAATATATTTTTAAGAATCTTCAATTTTTACTGCGAAATCCAAAAAAAATTATATATCTGTCGTATTTAGCTTTTATTTAAAAAATAAAAATTTATTATATAATAAAATATTTACTTTATAGATGCCTCATGAGAGTACAGTAGCTCATGAACAACGGTATGTTATTGACGCTCCTATGATCAGTCGCTCAAGAACGTTTAAATCGAAAAAAGAAAATAAAAGTATGCTGCAACCTGAAAACTTTCTGAATAATCTCAATAATTGTGCTAGTGATTCTGATATATCACAGGTAAATGATAGTATAGATTATTAATCATGATAAGTTAGTTATACTTTTATGCGTTGTTTGATTAAATTATATAAATTATATTACTAAATCACTAAACTAGTAGTCCATTTAAAACTACTCAACAACATAACTTTACGTAATTACACGTATAATTACATATACTTTTCTAATTTTATCATTTAATGGTGATTTAAGGTGTGTTTCTGGTGCAAATACTAACAATTTTCTGAAATACTTTTTATAAAATATAATTTCAAATAACATATATAGAGTTTGTGACGGGCACTCAACCCAGTTCACTCCGTTTGCATTATATATATTATAACGGGGATTTAGCCCGGTTAGCCCCGTAAATATAAAAAAGGAAGTAACTAAAGTTAAATGAGGAATGTCCGGGCGAAGTCTGAAGCCTCCTGGACTGTCCGTCTTCTCAGGTCCGGTGTTCGTCACGCCGGTGACAGGGCAGCCGAATCCGCGCAGATTCGTAGTGTTGGCTGAAGAACGCAAAAGCCGAAGATTCGAAAGCGGGTGTAGGCGCGAAAGGGCGGAGCGTTTGAATAAGGCGTCGGGGTACGATTAAATAAAAGAGACTAACGGTAAACAGTATTTTTAATCAGTATAAGTTAACAAAAGCGGTCGGAAGGAGGGAGAGAGTACGCTGAGAGAACGGATAGAGAGAGAGTAAACCAACTAGCAGGTTCTTACAATGACGGTGCTCGTCCTCTAGATACGCAAACGAGTCGCACAGTTTGCGTCAACGCACACGCACAAATTATCGGGCACCACGTGCACTCCGCGGCTCGTTTCCTGCTGACGAACTCCCGCTCTAACAGCTACAGCACGCGAGCGTAGATCCTCTACAGGGCCGGGCGATGTCGCAACTCTTCTCCGGATAAAGGCCAAAACTCCGAGATCGAAGAAGAGGGAAGCACCAGGTCACCACGAAGATGCGAGCAGGGGAAGTCGTTGAGACGAAGGAATCTACCTGCCCGCTGACAAATCTGCACGATAACAGCTCTCTAGCGAGTTGCCTGCTCGGCTCTCGATTTCTTTCTGCCCTGCCTCTCGTCGATTAGTGTCCGCGGTCACTCGCTAAAGCGCGACTATATCTCTCTCTCTCTCTCTCCGCGCCTCGCGGTCGCGCGCGGAAGTATCCCTGCGTACTCGTGTCTCTCTCACTCTCTTACCTTATATTCGAACCGAAGGGTAATTACATATATAAATATTAATGATAAATGAATATAAACATAATAAATTCATAAATATATAGGATAAGTTCGGAGAAATATGTTATATTTACATATCATTACTAGGGAGAGAGAGATATAACGGGTTGGCAATCTCACTCGTTATATCCCTCCGGCCCAGACGCTGAGTACGGGGTACCAGCTCGAAAGGATGACTCTCTCTCTCATAGTAATAAAGAAAAGCCGAAACTTATTATAAGACTTTATTATCGTCAACGTCAAAGAAAAGGGAAATATCGTAATACAAAAAAAAGGTTTAAACAGAGAAACATCAAGTAGGCGCCTCTCTCTCTCCGTACAAGTTACGGTTCAGCTAACCATCTACTCGCGATGAGGATGCGTTGACGCAGATGAGCATCGTAGACCCTCCTACTCATCGTAGGAGTACGGGGCCAAGAGCCCCTGGGCCCATTTCCAATGCTGAGTGTAGTTGGGGCAGTCCCTTCCCCTTGACACCCCTGTCAGGCCACAGTGCGGGCAGCTCCGGATCAACCGAAGGTCTAGACGGGGGCCATCCCACTTGCCACACGGGCGAGTAGCGGCTGCTCCCTGCCTCGCATGGTGACCTGGCTCGTTCCTCACCCTGTTGGACGTGTGCGGGTTGGGAACCAGGAGAGGACGGCTGGCGTTCTCCTCTTCCAAGGCCGCCAGCTGGGCCCGCAGAGCGTGCAGTTCTTGGAGCTTCTTAGCCTGCTCTGCTATAATGCGCTCTCTTTCCTGCTCTGCCTCCAGTCTCCTCTTCCTCTCGGTGAGCCAGGCCGAGCGTGTCTCCTCGAGGTAGGCAGCTAGATCAATGGCCTCCTGCACCTTGGGGAGCCACTCTTTTGCCAGCCCTGCTGCCTGAGGACATGGACGGCCGGCGAAGTCAAGGACAGCCTGGTAGGCCTCTTGCTCCAGCTTGGTGGCTTCGATGCGAGCCTTCCTGGCTGCCTTGGCTCGAGTCAGGATCTCGCCCCATTCGGCGAACAAGTCTTTGGCCACTGTTGGTCCGGGTAATGGACTCGGAGCTACCTCGTCTTCAAAGACTGCCCCGGTAGCCGTTGGAGAGGCCTGGGTATGCGTTGACACAGGTGGGTCCTTTGGACCAGGTAGCGGGATCGGTGCCCGCTTGCCCTCAGAGGCGAGTTCAACGGCCCCTGGAAGGGCTCCATCGTGCGTGGACGCTATTCGATGAGCTGGTCCTTCCGGCGACGCGACCGAAGCGATTGCCTCGAGGGTGTGCGATGACGCCTCCAATGGCGCGCCAATAGCCGGTCGGCTAGAGGTACTTGGCAGCCGTGCCAAGTCGGCCGTGGCTGGGGTGACCAAGCCCACCAGGGTGGGTGAGGCTCCTGCTGCCAGCAGTTCATGCGTCAGTCGCGCAATCCCTTCAATCAGCTCCTGGGACACCCACAGCCGTCTGTCCGCCGACATTATCTGTAATTAAGTCAGGTACAATCAGACAAGATTCCAGGGGCTAACAGGAAGGAAGGGAGTAGGGGTGAAGAAAGAAGCCTGTTCCCGTCAGTGATTCCTAGGGCGCAGACGTCGAGGGGATGCGGCCACCGGGATTAACGGAGGTTTTTTCGATCCTCGAGGGCGTCCTCTCCTCTTAGACATTACGGTCGGCGTAGATTCCATTTTGGTGATTTCCTCTCGACTTACTTCCGCCGTATCATCCCGCGTAATCGCTACCGACCGGCTTAACTGAGACTGAGCTTCGTCGGGTTCGTCGTTGAATTCGACATCATCACTCTCCTCGTCGTCGGGGAGCTGCGCTTGGTCGAAGCAGGGCTTCAGGCCTTCCAAGGCGACCTTACCGAAGTCCATACCATTCTCATCCCTGAGCTGGTAGGAACTGGGACCATTCCGACGTGTTATTATAAAGGGTCCGCAGTATTTCGGACCTAACTTGGCTGCGACGGCCTTGGCTGACGACGACAGTAAGTGATTCTTCGCCCACACTTTGTCGCCTACGTCGAAAGTCACATCGCGATGTCTCCTGTTATAATAGGCCTCTTGGCGATCTTGAGCGGCTCTCGAGTTCTGTGACGCCTTTGCTCTGTACTCCTCGAGCCTCTCCATGCGAGAGCGCCAGTCTTCTAGGGCTTCTCCTTGAAGTTCGTTCTCCGCTTTCCTTTCCTCGTCCCTCTTCGTGGAGTTAGGCAACTCAGGGTTCCTTCCATAATTCAGGAATGCGGGGCTAGAGCGAGTAGCTTCCTGCACGGCCGTGTTATATGCGAAGGCGAACTCTGCCACGTGCTTATCCCAGGTACTGTGACGCTCTTCGATGAAGGCCGAAATCATGGTCTTAATAGTCCGGTTAGCTCTTTCCGTGGGATTAGACTTCGGGGAGTAAGGTGCGCATGTCGCATGAACCACTCCCTTAGACTCCAGGAAGCTATCCACAAGCTTATTCTTAAACGGTGTCCCATTATCCGACAGGAATTTATCGGGGACACCATACCGGAGAAATATGCGCTCGTTGAGCTCCCTTTTAATGGTCTTCGCATTGGCCTTCCTAATCGGAACACACTCGATTCAACGAGTGAAAAGATCTACAAATACGAGTAGATATTCGTGGCCCTGTGGTGATCTAGGAAACGGCCCCATCGTATCTCCTGAGACTATCTCCCAGGGGCGATGAACTATATGCCGACCCATAAGTCCCGCAGGAGCCCTTTGCTAGACCTTCACCTGCTGACAGGTGGTGCAATTCCTGACGTAATGGGCCACATCCTTATAAATCTTGGGCCAAAAATACTGTGTGACCGCCCGCTGATGAGTCTTAAAACGCCCTAAGTGTCCGGCCGTCGGTTCATCGTGGCATTCCGCGAGGATGCGTTCACGCAGCTCTCGAGGGACCACGAGTTTCCACGCGTCGTAATCTTGACCTAACACGTCATCGACGGCAGGGTCCGGCCTATAAGCGAACAGTCTACCGCCGGTGACCTTCCAGTGCGGGTGCTCACTCGGACTTTCAAGGACTTTTAGTACCATTTTCCTGTACCATGGGTCCTTGATATTCTCGTCAACTTTTAACGAAGCCGCGGCGGCTGTCACGTCCTCTTCAGTCTCATACATGCGAGACAGGGCGTCTGGCACAACGTTATCCTTTCCTTTCCGGTGTACGATATCAAAATCGTACGATTGTAGGCGCAATGACCAGCGACCTAGCTTACCGTTCGGGTTCTTCAAGTTGCGCAGCCAGACCAAGCTATGATGGTCAGTCACGACGGTAAAGTGGTAGCCTTCGATGTACGGCCTATATTTTTCTATTGACCATATCACGCTTAGGCATTCCCGCTCCGTGACTGACAGCTTTCGTTCTGAGGCAGAAAGGGTGCGGCTCGCGAAGCATAGGACCTTATCCTCCCCATCGATGTGCTGCAGCAAAACACTGCCTAAACCAGTATCGCTCGCATCACACTCGATGACGAACGGGGCTCGATAGTCCGGACGGGCTAATACAGGCGCAGTAGCAACTAACGCTTTAACCCTTTCGAAAGCCGCTTCTTGCTCGTCTCCCCATTCAAACTTGGCGTCTTTACGCGTTAACGCCGTGAGGGGTTCACAGATCGTTGCGTAATCGCCTAAAAACTTCCTATACCACGCGGCCATCCCAAGGAACCTACGTAGCTGCTTGAGATTCCTTGGCGCGGGGTACTCAAGGATGGGGCGAGTCCTCTCAGGATCGGGGCGACAACCTTCGCGATTGACCAGTACTCCGAGGTAACGTACCTCAGTCATACATATCCGCGATTTCTTGCGATT